ATTGTTAGAAGATTATATCATGGATATTCCATAACGCCCATGAAAGGCTAAGGTAATAACTGATACCATGAGCCACAGATCGGAAGATAGCTTAAGCCTACATAAAGGCTGATCGGAAGGAAGAGGAAACTAAAGAATTACATCACCCAAGTAAATCAAAAGTCTGATTATTAGACCTAGAAAAATTATAGAAGTTGTGGTTGAGAACATGACAAAATCACTCTTAATATCAGATGTTCAAGAGAAATAACACAACAACCATAATCTGTAATGGCTCTAAAAGGAATCCAGTTAGAAGAAGTACCAGCCTCATAAGAAGTCAGTACGAAGCTCCCACCAAATTGTGTATCTACCAGAGATACGATTATTATAATAAAGATTCAAGTTATGGACGTGAATTACACCTAGGTGGAAGGGAGGTTACAAAAGAGATAGAAGATACGATGCGAGATTTTAAGGTAAGAAGGTAAAGGTGAACAGCGTACGAGATACTCAAAGGCAGAATATGTGAATAGTCCATACTCCGGATAGAAGGCTAGAAGTGCTGGGATTCAATATCCAGGAATGATAGCGGCATAGTCAGTGGCATATCTTATAGCCTATGGTTTCTAGGTATCGAGGAGGCTAGTTAAGACAGTAAGAACAGTTAGAGAAGATGTGATGTCTCATTTGATGTCCCAGAATGACATAAGGAAATCTATGATGCAAGCAAGTTGAAAGGTTGTAAGTAATATAAATAGAGTTGTGTAGGTCCCAAGGCATTGTATAGTGAAGCGACAAGGTTCTGGAAGGCAAGAGTAAGGATAAGAAAGGGCGAGTAAAAAGGTAACGCTAATGGATAAGTCCTCAGGATTAAGCCCATGAAAACAAGAAGAGCATATGGTTTCTCTAAATTATACGAAGCTCACTATAGCCTGAATAAACTCAAAGGAGTCTAAGACTAATAGTATTTAGAATGCCACCCTGGTAATAGAATGAGGGTGTAATTGCGATAGATAAAAGATGACGTTTGGGCCTTTGATTGAGTAATGATTCAACGAAGAAAAGAAACGGATCTTATGAATTGGACAAGATTAAAAATACCCACGCAAGGTGAATCACATTAGGATGTTGTGAGGTATGGTTATGGAAGCAGGGTATCGCCCCAGGTGAATCAATCTAATCATTTCAGACGTTCCCCGATAAAACGTGAATCCTAGCAGCAATATTACATAAAAGGTTAAGTTATCAGTGGTATATTGTAGATCAATACTGAGGTGAATCAACAATGGATGGACAAAAGCTACAAAGTATGAGATAAGATTAGGCCGTCATTCTAACGATGAACAATAATAAGGAAGCATTAAAGGACTTAAATTTATACATATGGAATGAGCAACGAGAGTAAGCTGGGACTTGGTAGCAGACCTTAGCAATGATAAATAAAAGTAAGAGCTATGGCAGTAAATTCATACGGATGGTTAAACGGACCTATGCAATGAGATTTAGCAATATTCGTAAATCCAACAAAGTATCGAGCAAAAGACTTCAATATACCTATAGAGGCCTACAGAGGCATCCTATTAAGCCTTGTATATACAAAGTAAGGCCTACAGATTGACTAAAAGGTATGAGGAAAAAGGAAAGATGAATCGCATAAGTGCACCTACAAAGCCAGGGTCATACAGTCCGCATGACAAGAGGTAACAAAAGTTGCAAGATTAGGAAGAGTTCGACCACAGGTCATGATATGAGCAAAAAGACTAAAAGGGGGAATACCCTAGACTTTGGATTTATTCACAGAGCAACTACTTGAATGGCAAGAAGAGTATTAATGTATTCACAAGAGCTATAAGTTACTAAAATGATAAGAGCATCAGTCAACATTCGAGGACGAATGTTCCAAAGGGGGGAATGATGTTACACCCTGCAATATTTTACGTTGAATTTGTCTTCGTAAGGTAATTGACATCAGTCCAAGGAAAAGATTATTTGGGGATTATAAGTGATGAGTAAATTCGTGAAGGTAAGAGGGTAAGTAATATCGAAGAAAATGAATTTTTTTGAAGTTTGGCATGTTGGGGTAAAATACGGCCCGAGCTAAAATATCCGGCATTTATGGACTAGTGCCATACAAGGTACTATATGGCCATGGTAGTAAGGTGTATAAGGTATATGGAAAGTGAGTAATATTTTAAGTAAGTGAGAATAATTCTCAATTTTTTTGGGTAATTGGTTAATTATCGGGTAACGGGACATTACCCGATTAACTAATAAGTGGATAAGATTAAATTCCTCCCCCAACAAAACGTGGCAGAAGGCCACTATTTGAGAAAGTGACTCATATTGATTTATGATAGGTGGTTGCCAAGGATTTAATTGAATTATTAAAACAAGCAAGACTTAGATAATGTCTTGTTTTCCATGTTCATTTGGACAAGAGCAGAATGTCCTTTAAGTCAAAATAGAAATCATATCTCCATTTCCATTTTGAAAAAGAGAACGAGCCATTCCTAAAAAAAACCAAGAAAATTGTCTTTCTTGGATCAAATACTGTAACGTCAAGAACAAGCTCAATCGTTCATAGTGCTTCAAAGAGCAGAAGATAGTTCGTTCAAATGGCTTCAAGAACAAAAGCTAATCCAGTTCTTGCGATTCTTAACTCAATCCAACGTGCAACGACACAATTGCAACGAGAATTTATTTGAATCGTAGCAACGTAAAATTTTGCGGTTCTAAAGGTGTACGTGCAATCTTCTCCAGGTATGTTAAGGCACTTCCTTCTTTCTTTTGGCATGATCTAAAGTGAAATGAATGCGCTACTTCATAACGGATCTACTCCTAGCAATTAAGGTTGTCCATGTTGTTCTTTCCTTATAAAATTATTCTAAGCAAGTGTGTATGATCCTTGAATCCTACTAAGGTTCATATTGAGGGTATGGATGTCCATAATGTTCTTAAGTCACTCCAAAAGGTTTAGAAGGTGATTCCATGAGTCTAGCATGCACTATATATAGTATCTATTTTACTCTACCGAGCCGCGCTATAGTCGGCCGGGTATGGCACCTATTATGCAACCACTGATCAGTTGGGTTTACCGAGCTCCACGTGGCCGGGTATGATTCTACCGAGCCTTATGATGGCCGGGTACGTTTTTACCGAGTCCTCTTTGAGGCCGGGTATGATATGATGATGATGATGCCCATAGAGGCGTATGTTTTTAAAAGTTTATGTATATATATGTATTATGCATTTCATGTCAGTAGCCCCCAGAGGCACTCAGATGTTACAGGTTGTATCTCCTCTATCTCTCTTTGCATTACTGTTCTTGTTTATGCTTTCCTGCCGTACATACTCGGTACTTTATTTGTACTGACGTCCCTTTTGCCTGGGGATGCTGCGTTTCATGCCCGCAGGTCCCGATAGACAGGTCAAGAGCTCTCCAAGTAGGCTATCAGCTCAGCGAAAGATGTTGGTGCGCTCCATTTGCTTCGGAGTTGCCTGTTTGGTTAGTATGATTTAGACGTGTATTGTTTGGTATGGCGGGACTCTTTCCCGACCTTTATGACATATATGTACTCTTAGAGGCTTGTAGACATATGTCGTTTACGTGAAAGATTGTACGGCCTTGTCGGCCTATGTCTTGATTTATAAATAATTATGTTGGCCTTTTAGGCCCGTATGTCACGTGTATATGATAATGTAATAAGAAAGATACGTTACGTTGGTACTCGGTTGAGTAAGGTACCGGGTGCCCGTCGCGGCCCATCGATTTGGGTCGTGACACTGAAGACAGGTACGATGTGAGTCAGCAAATAGTCGATACCACTTGCAAGCATGTGACCGGTGCTGGATGAATTTCGAAGATAGGGTAACCAATAACAATGGTCTGAAGAATTTATATCGGATAGCATTCAATGAGCAGCTGTTACAGAGAATATCTGCATTTATAGCCAACCGTTACGCGGCCATCTATCACGATTTTATTCTCATTTAAGAGGAGACATAAATAGGAGGATTAGTATTCATTGTAGGGCACGAGAAACATTATGTACACAAAAGCTATATTCTGCTCTCAAATTATGAAATTATTTGCTTCTTTAGTTCTTAATATTGTTCATACTACTGCTTCCGGAGGAGCTCATCATACCAGCAGGCTTGTATTTTTTTAAGTTATTTTTACATTCTTGATTTCATTCTTGTTTATTTCATATTGTTGGATCAAGTTAATTCACGGGACTATAAACCACGTTATAAATTCAATTGTATCATTTTACGGGTAAATAATTTGACGTTCACCGTGGAGCATAGACAATTTTGTACTTGCTCTGATATTTTAATCTATTACTAATAAATATTGATTCCTTTCTTAGCAAAAGAGAAATCAGATGTGGAAGTTAATGATGTCAACAATTCCTATAATGTTGGAGCACATAATGAACATGATGATGTGTTCCAATGTGATGATTCAACCAGCGAAACCCGCAACGAAGGAGATAAAACAACTCCAGTTCACGAGGGTCAAAATCCTCGTCATGTGAGGAGTCCAACTCCTGATGATGTGGATGATGAACACATTGTTGAAACGGTCAAAATCTTGAGAGAGAATCAAAGGGAAATAATGGATCACCTCTCAAGACAAGATCAGGTAATGACAGAGTTGAAACAGCTTCTAATACTTCTAATGGAAGAGCTCAAGTTCCACCCAGTGTCCTTGTAAATCAAACAGTTCAAAGAACTGGTAACGATGCTCCAAGTGAGGAGTTTGGTTTTAACGAGGCAGGAGGTACCGGTAGTGGATCTGGGAACGAAATCAACGTTAACGACCATTCAAAGTCGAGCTCATGATATTCATGAGAGAAATGAATGAACGCATGGACCAAAAGGCAAAGTAATTTCATGCTCGAATGGATCAGATCGTGGGAGCGCCGCCGGTGTTAAAGGGACCTGATTCCAAAAAATATACACAGTTGTTGTTTTAACTAAGTGCGGCTCCAGAGTTGATCTCGAAGAGGTTTAAGATGCCAGATATTCCAAAATATGATGGGACTTTGGATTCACAAGAACATATCACGACATACACTATGGTTGTAAAGGGAAACGACCTGGCCCAGCACGAGATTGAATCTATTTTGCTAAAGAAATTTTGGGAAATCCTGATGAAGGTTGCCTTAACTTGGTATTCTCTTTTACCTGATCATTCCAATGATTCATTTGAAATTCTTGCAGAATTATTTATTAAAGCTTATGTTGGAGCAAGAAAGGTCCAAGCAAGGAAGGCGAATATATTCAGAATATCCCAAGGAGAATCCTAACTACTGCGAGAGTTTGTGATCCAGTTCCAGAAAGAAAGGATGTTATTGCCGGCAGTACCGGATGAGTGGGCTTCGGGGGCATTTACAAAGGGTCTCAACCCATTGAGTTCCGATGCCTTCCGAAAATTGAAGGAAAGCTTGCTAGAAATTCAGGCAACCACATGGGCAGATGTTCATAATCGCTACGAGTCAAAGATCAGAATAAAATATGATCAACTGGGTTCTTCGGCGTCTTCCAAAGGACGAAATCGTGATCGCAATCAAGATAAGTTCAAAAGTGATTTGATGCGTATCGGAGGTGCTCTAGGAGTCGATTTCAACTTATGAGAGGGCCGATGTGCATGTAAATAAAGGTTTTCAGTCATCGGATAGGTTCACTTTCGATAGAAGGGCAGATCGTGGTCTAAGTAGTAGATCATTGCAGGAAAAAGAGGTGTCGGGGCCCTAGGAGTCAACATATTCCAGGTTATCCGACTACAACTTCAACATCAGTTTAGTAGTACTGGTGCCGGTTATCAGGAATATTAAAGAAGCTAGGTTCCCGAAACCAATTCTGTCGGATCCAAGCCAGAAAGATCCTAATCTATGGTATGAGTTCCATGAAAATCACGGTCACAGGACTGGGGACTGCCGACACATTCGTGAAGAGGTAGCAACATTGTTGAAGAATGGTCACCTTAGAGAATTCCTAAGTGACCGGGCCAAGAACAACTGTGGAAAAAATCGGGATGTTGCAGAACCATCAAAACCAGCTGCAGGGTCACCTTGTATGACAATAAACATGATCTTCAGTGGAGAAGAAGCAAATGGAGTGATATTTTTGGCAACAAAGAAGACGAAGTTATCGGTGACTCATGGCAAGAGGATTCGAAAGGTCTTAGAAGATGACATCACCTTCACAGAAGAAGATGATAATGGATTTCTTCTACCGTACAATGATGCTTAGGTAATTTCTCTTAATATTTTAGATTTTATAATTAAACGTGTGTTGGTTGATCCACGAAGTTCAATCAACATAAAATAATTGAGAGTTTTGAAGCAAGCATAGCTAACCGGAAACATATTTCCGACAACAAAGATTTTGACCGGATTCAACTTAACAACTGTGACAACCTGAGGAGAAATTTTGCTGACCACGCATGCCGAAGGAGTAACGAAGACCACCCTGGTCGACGTGATAGATGGCAACATGGGCTATAATGTAATCATTGGAAGGCCATGGATACATGAAATGAAGGTTGTACCTTTAAAATACCATCAACTATAAAAAATTTCCCACACCGTAAGGGATCAAGCACATCAGATAAGATCAACCACAAGGGACATGAACGCAACAACAGTTTCTAGTAGCAAGGGTAAAGAAATGAGCAAATAACAATTACTGGAACTGGTGCCTTCTTCCACCTCGATTGAAGATGATAAAGATAAGGAGTCATCAGAATTATACCAGGTACCGAGGTCTTTTCAGGTCCGGAGGAAACGAATGCGACCAAATCAACCGCAAAAGAGCTCGAACAAGTGGCTTTATTCGAAGAGTTCTTAGAAAGAAAATTCCACTTGGGAACATGATTGAGTCCCGAACTCAGGCTAAAAATTATGGATTTTCAAAAATCTAACATTGATTGTTTTGCATGGTTGCATTCATATATGACAGGTATTCCATTGGAAGTGGCTGTCCACAAGCTGCGTTTGGATCCTAACTTCCCTCCTATAAGGCAGAAGAAATGACTGAAAGTAGAGATCAGAAACATGTTTGTCAAGGAAGAGTTAAGTCTCTTAATGCAGGAGATCATCTGAAACATCTCCAAGAGACGCTTGATATTGTGAGCTAATACAACGTGAAGCTCAACCCAGAGAAGTGCGCCTTCGGAGTTGGTCTGGGTAAGTTCTTTGGGTTTCTAGTCTTTCAAAGAGGAATCAGACTAAACCCCGATAAAATCAAAGCTATCGAGGATATACCAAACCAGTTAACAAAGTGTGAAGGAAGTACAGTGGTTGATCGATAGATTGGCGGCTCTCAGCAGGTTCATCTCGAGGTCTTCAGAGAAGTTCCATCATTTTTTTCACTTTTGAAAAAGAAGAACGATTTCGTGTGGACTCCGAAATGCCAACAAGCACTGAAAGATCTAAAAAGGTACTTGTCTAGCCATCTATTTCTTTCAGAACTGTCAAAATAAGAGCAATTATTAATCTATTTAGCGGTCTCGGAAGTAGCGGTAAATGTTGTTCTAGTCTGGGAAGAGGAAGGTACGTAATTTTCAGTTTATTATGTTAGTAAAATTCTATCGGGAGCGGAGACACGTTATCCGCACCTTGAAAAATTGGCTCTAGCTCTCGTAGTTGCCTCTTGAAAACTTAGGCCTTATTTTCAATGTCATCCTATAGTCGTAATGACAACCTTTCCCTTGAGGAATGTCCTTCATAAGCCTGAGTTATCGAGCTGTTTGGCTAAATGGACAGTCAAAGTTAGTGAGTTCAACATTGAATACAAGCCCAGGACTACAATCAAGTCACAAGTTTTGGCCGACTTTGTGGCTGACTTTAGTCCGGGATTAATGCCTTTAGCTGCTCAAGAAGCAGTGTTGGTGTTGGGAATGGTATTAGGTGTTTGGGACCTTGTTTATGGATGGAGCTTCCAATGTAAAAGGGTTCGATCTCAGGGTATTTTTAATCACTCCTTTGAGGAAAACCCCGAGATAGGCCATTAGAACTATTCCACTAGCTAATAATGAAGCTGAGTACGAGGCTTTGATTGTAGGACTTGAACTAGCTTGGGAACTAGGTTCCGAAGTCATTGAAATAAAGTGCGACTCCCAGCTGGTAGTGAACCAAGTATACGGAATTTTCGACACCAAGGAGGAGTGCATGCAACAATAGTTGAACAAGGTTCAAGTATTACTTTCCCGGTTCAAGGAGTGGTCAATCATCCATATTCCGAAGGAGGAGAATGTGGAGGAAAACCCTTTGGATAATTTGGGTTCGTCCACGGAAATAAAAGGGTCTGATGCTGGTGCGGTAGTTCAATTATTGCATTCGGTGTTGGATGTGGATGACTACTATGAAGTTAACTCAACCAACTAATTTTGGGATTAGAGAAACGAGTTTATAGAATATCTAGGGCATGAAAGATTGCCTGAAAACCCAAAAGCATCGGGGGCGCTACAGACCAAGGCAGCTCGTTACTATCTTGTTGATTTAATTATAAAGGAGGATGTTCTAGGGACTTTTGGCTCTGTGTTTAGGGACATCGGAGGCTGACTACGTTATGAGAGAAGTTCATGAAGGAGTATGCAGGAACCATTCCAGTGTAGACTCGTTGGTTCTCAAGTTAATAAGAGATGGATACTATTGGCCCCGGATGGAGCTAGACGAAAAGACATTTGTACAAAAGTGCGATAAATGTCAATGCCATGCATAGTTAGTGCATCAACCGAAGAAACTTTTGCGTTCGGTGGTGTCACCATGGACATTCATGAAATGAGGGAAGGACATAGTCGGTAAAATTTCTTTTGGTTTTAACTGATTATTTTACTAAATGAGTTGAAGTAGGTACTTTCCAAAAGGTCGGAGAACAAGAAGTGATTGATTTTATATAGGATCACATTGTCTTCTGGTTGGGAATACCAAAAGAAATTGCTTGCGACAATGGACCACAGTTTATAGGTTCCAAAGTCACAAAGTTTTTGGAGGGATTGAAGATCAAATGAGTTACATCTTCACCATATCAACCGAGTGCTAATGGACAGTCAGAGTCAACGAACAAGGTAATAATCCAAAACCTTAAACAGAAATTAGAAGATGCTAAAGGAAAGTGGCCAAATGAGCTACCGGGTGTGTTGTGGGAATATTGGACCACAGTGAAGTCGAGCATGGGTGAAACACCCTTCTCACTTGTATGCGGTTTAGAGGCTTTGATCCGGTAGAAGTGGGTGAACCGACCTTAAAATTTTCCCGAGCAAACAAGGAGGCAAATAATGAAGCATTGCTGGTTAAATAGAATTGTTTGAAGAGCACCGAAATATGGCATATGTGAGGATGGTGGCACAAAAACAAAGGATGGAAAGGTATTATAACCGCATAGCAAATTGTCGATATTTGAAAATTTGGAATTTGGTTCTGAGAAAGGTTACTCAAAAAACTCGGGAAGTTAATGCCTGGAAGATGAGACTAACATGGGAAGGAGTTAAATTTCCAATCAATTCGAATGTGAGTCACCTTAAAAGGTATTATTCCTAAAGATCCTTGCTGGTACTGAAAGTATGTGCTGCACTCTTTTTTCCTTCATCGAATTTTTATCCCAATTAGATTTTTCTGGCAAGTTTTTAATGAGGCAGCAATGTAAAGCATACTACGAAGAACGGGTCATCCACAAAAACAAGACTTCTAGTGTTCGAATTCTTATACACAGAATTTGAACACTGAGGGAACTATTGTGAATGAATGCACTAAAAGTGTTACGAAGACCGAGGACTGTAAGAACCGGAAGCGATGTCTTATCAGGACCGGGGACTGCATGATTAGCCCCGTAAAAATAAGTTGTATAGGTTAGCTACATGTATTGACAACTTTATTTACTTAAGCAGAAGAATATTAATGTAAACGAACTTTTAAAGATAGAGGGAATAAATCAAAGTCCTTTTACTTTTATCTTATTTCTTATTCGAATGATAAGTTAATTTACTTTATCGTTTGAAAGTTAGTTAAAACTTCAAATGCTTGTGCCAGAATGAATAGGAGATGTGCTTTTCAAGAGCATCGCAAATGCAGCCCGGTGTATTGCAACCTAATAGAAATTTTTGAGTTGACTCCCGGCAATTAGGGCCCTCTCTTATGAAACCCACATAGTCAAATGATAGATTCTGGAAGTGTTTATGCCCGAAATCCAAAAGCTATCGGATGAGAAAAGATTCCCGAAGCTTTGTCAGTTAAATGAAAAAGAATATATTTTGCACAACACTTAAGAAAAGAATTTCTTTCATTAATTAAAATGTCAAACTCGGTAAAGAAGTTTTGGCATAGTTACAAAAAGGAAAGAAAAATATATACATTAATCTTGCTTCCAAAACCCGAAGGGAGAGAAGAGTCTTCATTTTCTTTTTGGGAGAAGGCTGTTCCACTTCCGGTTCAGAGCTTTCATTTTTATCTCCATCTTCTTTAGATTCCTTTTCGGTTCCCAAATACTCGGAGTTAGTATTCGAACATTCAAAAGCAACGAGCCGAGCTGGGAGGTTCTTAAGAGAGGTTGTCTCCAGTTTATGAGATTTGGCAATGCAGTCATCAATGTTTGCATTGCCTTCTTTGGATTCCTCCAAAGTCTTCCTCTTTGTATGATATATGTCATAGGTTTTCTCGAAGGGGATATAATCTTTTTTATCATGGAGTTTATCTCGGAGCTTTTCAATCTTTGATTGGAGCTTTTCATTTTTAGCTTTCATAATGCTGATTTTGGAATCAAGCTCAACATTGGTGGTCGAGTAAAGTTGATTCTTCTCCATGACATTTTTTAGCCTTTCTTACATTCTTTCCCTCTTCTCCTCGGCATCATTGGCCTCCTCGGTTTTAGAGCGTAATCAAGCTTCCAAGTTGTTGACTTGCTCCATGAAAGCAGATTCGCGCTCGGCAATAGCAGTCACAGTATCATGTAGGTCAGCCCACTTAGCCTTTGCATCATTAAGGTCTTCATGCAATTGAGTGGCCTCTTGGTTGTGGGTCATTCTTTCTTGCTCGGGTTGCTACAACCGGGCCTCGAGATCATCCATTTGAGCAATTTTTGCTTCCAGCACCAGGAGGCGCTCGGCAAGCTCACCCCGTTCAGCCAAAAGTTGATCGCGTTCCGTAGTAAGTGTTTCATTATCCAAGATTAACCTTTACAGGCCTTCGGAAGCAAGAAGGTTGGCCTGAAGAGGTTAAAGCTAAGGTTATTAACTCATAATATTATAAATGAAG